ACGCACACACACACACACACACACACACACACACACACTCACTCACACAGACACAGACACAGACACACGCGACACACACGCGCACACGCACACAGACACAGACACAGACACAGGCACACGCACACGCACACAGACACAGGCACACACACACACACACAGTTAATTCAATTCATAAAACTAATTAGTATTTCTAGAGATCAGTGAATGGCCAAGTGTGTAAACTATTGAAATATATAGTGTTTTTAATTCTTAAATGTACATTTCAAACAGTTGCATTAGTGACCAATATTAAATAATGTGGTCACAATATTGACATAAAGCATACTAATCCATATATTACAGCTCCCACATGCAACCTTTATCATTTTTATTTTATGGCAAGGAGAATATAACATAGGATTCAATTACAAAAATAATACTGCACACCAGTTTCATGTGCAATAACCTACTGTAAAATATGGGGTAGTTCTGTACAGTAAAACATTAGTAAATGGCAGTCAATGGCTACCAGCAACTGTTCGGTCAGCAACATTCTTCAAAGTATCTTCTTTTGTGTTCAGTAGAAGAAAGCAACTCATACAGGTTTGGAATAAATGATGACAGAACCTTCATTTTTGAGTGAACTATCTCTTTAAAGTTAAAAGTACGCCGAGAAGCTGACGGATGTTCTTCACAGCTAGTGAAATACATCCAATAAGATGATCTTTGCAAACGGAGCCAGTTAAAATTCCGAGCAGAAAGTGCTCAGTCAAATGCGGTGATCATTCACGATGAGAGTCGCGGCCAGCAGGACATTACCTGGAACGGACTCTGATTATTGCAGTTCTTCAGCTCCTTGTCGGCTCCTCTGACCAGCAGCACGTGAGCACACTTCTCCTGCGGGAGTCACAAACACACCGTCAGTCTCTAAACAAGACAGAAAGACAATGAAACATCCCTCCAGCTTCAGAGAATAATGATGTTTGACCACAAGACTCAGGCTTTAGTTTGAGACACGTCAACAGGATTTTCATTTGTATTTTTGATTTACTCTTTTTCTTAATGGTTTAAAGGCTGAAATATGAGGTTGATCATTTTATACAACTTGTATTGTCAAATCATGTATTGTTTGAACTGTAAAGTTGTTTGAATTATCATTTTTACCATCATGTTACACTTTAGTTGTTACCACAGATATCGGATTGTTTCAAAACCATGCTACTACCTGAACATTTAGCTTTATTGTAATATCAAAATTTCCCAAAATGCAGATTCCAATACATTTTTAAGAAGATTTTAAAGAGTATTATTTGTAAGTATTATATATTTTTTTTTGCAAAGACGCATAAAACTGATCAAAAGTGACAGTAAAGTCATCGTACATGGTTACTTTCACAGCTCCACTCTCAGTGGCTTTGAAATAAACACTCTTTCATTTGTGTTTGAGCCTCATTCCTCCTGACTTACAGCCTCACTGAAACACAGACACAAATTCCGTAGTTAACGTGCCACTAACCATATAAACAACTGCAATGCTGACGATCACACACCTGGTTGTAGAGAGCACAGATGTGCAGCGCCGTGTTTCCCGAGGCGTTCTGAGCGCTCATATCTGCTCCGTAAAACAACAAGTGCTCGAGGTGCTGGACGTGACCGTGTCGACAAGCCTGTGAGAAACACACACACACACACACAATTACCCTAACAGAAAACTGCTTATTAACAACAAACTATGGATGAGCCCAGGTGGAGTTTTTGTTAGATTTAGCTCAAAACTTTGTCCCCAAAGTTAAGAAGGAACCCACACACATCATTCAAAGATGCAGAACACGCAGAAAGAGAGACAGACTTTTAGTAAACAAAAAACTTCAAAGTAGATTTTGCATCAGAAAAATGAAAATTTCACAGTTCTGCTCACCAGAGGGCGCCATGTCCAGTATGAACCTTTCAATTTGATGTCCTGCTTGTGTAAACAGAATGTTGTCTAATGTGTTCAGCAGGAGCTTTTCTGACCGTTCTGCCAGTGGTTTGGTTCATTAATTTTTCTGCTTTTTTAGGCATTTAAGGCTCTTTTTATATTTTATGTAAGGGATGGGTCAGGGTGAACTATTAGCATTGGGAACCTATAACAAACATCCAGAGAAATTAGAGCTCTAGAATCCTTCATCCTACAAAAGTAGCGCCACATAAAAAAGACATAAACAGTATACATCCAAACTTCACATTTCTGCTTGTAAACGCATTATTCTATATTCTAGTGATCAATCACAGCGCACAGATGCCATCCACAGACTGAACTCTATTTAATCCAGAATATTCATTTTAGTTGTGACGTAATTGAGGAAACGATGAAATTTTCAGTTTTTAAGTATAGTGATGATGCATTATAACTCAAATACTTGATACTCCTGGGACCTCGGCATCTTTAATAAAGCTATGGATGAAGCTGACCTGGTGGATCTCGTGCCAGCCGTTCTCGTCCTGGCAGCAGACGGAGGCGTTCTCGTTCAGCAGAAGCTCGCAGCAGTCGGTGTCTCCTCCCAGCACGGCCGTGTGATACAGCGCTGTCAAACCACGACTGTCTTTATAGTTAGGAGACGCCCCGAGTTCCAGCAGCGTCTGAAGAGCATGATCGTTCACAAGAAACACCACTGTAACACAACTAAGGTATATGTGACCCTGGACCACAAAACCAGTCATAAGGGTCAATTTTCTCAAATTGAGATTTATACATCATCTGAACGCTGAATAAATTAGCTTTCCATTGATGTATGGTTTGTTAGGATAGGACAATATTTGAAAATCTGGAATCTGAGGGTGCAAAAAAATCTAAATATTGAGAAAATCATCTTTAAAGTTGTTCAAATGAAGTTCTTAGCAATGCATATTACTAATCAACAATTAAGTTTTGATATATTTACAGTTGGAAATTTACAAAATATCTTCATGGAACATGATCTTTACTTAATATCCTAATGATTTTTGGCATAAAAGAAAAATCAATAATTTTGACCCATACAATGTATTGTTGGCTATTGCTACAAATATACCCCAGCGACTTAACACTGCTTTTGTGCTGCAGGCTCACATATTTATCATTCTTCTGTCTCACTTGTTGCCACTTTGCAGTTCCAGTTCAGGACCATTTAAGTCGCTGGCACTTTCCCTGAATAGAGTACCTTTTGGTGTCACATTATTGTACCATTAATGTCCCATGATGGATGATGGGTGACATGAAAACATGAAAAGAGTAAAAAAGTAATTGCAATGCACTTAAAGAAATCCCTTTCCTCATGGAGAGCCTTCAGTCAAACCACTTTCAGGGTTTTCATGCAACCGGCACCAAACCACCACAAAACCCGGATCTGGTGCCGCCATCAGCAGAACTTGGAGTCTGGAGTCCTGTATCATACAAGTCCAGGTTTTGGTAACAGGGTTGCAAAAAATGCAAACTACATACATTAAATAAATGTAATTAAATATAGCTGGTATATTTTGTTGGTTTTCTGAAGGGTAAGTACTTGCTTTTGCTGATCATTTGCTAAAAAAACGTGTTTTCAGACACTATTGAGTATTCTATTTTTGGAAAATGCCAGCTAAAATAGAGACAATAGAGGCTGTTAGAACTAAAACCTAATAATTAATGCAATATTAGTCTGCAAATTTTAAACGAATAATATCTCTGGTTTTAATGTAACTAAACTCAGTTCAGTTGTGTACCTTGAGCGCGGCCTGGTTTTTAGAGCAAGCTGCTTTGTGGAGCGCAGTCATGCCGTCTTTGGCCCTGAAGTCCAGATGAGCTCCTCCGTTCCTCAGTGCTTTAATAAACTCCACCGTACTCTCCAGCTGGGCCGCAAGGGTGAGCGGCGTCTCTATAGCACACACACACACACACACACACACACTATGGGTCACGTCTTGCTTCAGACTGGACTGGCATTCATGAGCTTCATGCTTTCTCACCTTATCTCCACTTTTTCCCTTTGTGTTGCAATTATTCTGCTTATTGTACGTAATCACAAGAAGTTTATATAACTCTTTAAATCACTGGTACCTCCAGTGTCCATGTCATGGTAATTGGGGTCCAGGCCTCGGTCAAGCATTTTGGAGAGCTTCTCTAGCTGATGATGTCGGATGTAATCTATGAACCTCCTCAAGTTGGCCTGGAGAGAGAAAATAAAGAAAAATAATCCTTCAGTCAGAAGCCATTATACTGAATGCTTAAAGCCGTTAGATACATAAATACTTGCTAAGACACAGCAGCAGCTACTGGGAGATCGTACTGTCATGCAACAAAACACATTTGTTTACAATTAGATACATAACTGAGTGTTACTTGAATAAGTGTGTTTGCTTATTATATGTAAATTGCACATCATTACTTACTACTTTAATCAGACGATCAGAACCACAATGAGCCCGAACGCAACGTGCCATGTGCACAGATGCTGAAACAATCCTCACAGACTGCCATGAGATCTTCACTTTCATACATATCGTGCAAGCAGACAGCACTAGAATGTACTAGACTTGCCATCTCTCTCTCTACCCCAAAAATCTTCAGTCATTTTGAATTATGATTTTAAAAAAAACCATTGATGAATAATTCAAAACGATTTCTGGTATTTTAACACCAAACAAGAAAGGACTTATCGGCTCTCACCTTTGTGTGAAGTCTGGCAATCTGCTTCTCGTCCACACCGGGCTGATCGTACAGTCTGGTTTTGTAGCGAAACTGTAGCATACAGGAACAAATAAGCTTCTCAGGTTTTCACTGTAGTAATTTCAGGGTAACTAATATTTACAAACCTCAGAATACAGTCCTGATGTCCTGAGTTATGCTACTTGAGCGTACTGTATTGCATTACTCTGCTATGGTTTTCATTAGACCCTGACGATTGTAAGGCCTTTCCTGTACCTCCAGTGACGCGGCGTCCTCGCAGGCCAGCTGTGGATATTCTCCGACGAGACACTCTTCATCCAAGAAAGCACCGCTGGCCGGCTGGAAGAGTCCGTAGTTCAGCACATCCTTCAGATTCTGACTCAGAGTACACAGCAGGCGCTGTTTAGCCACCCACACCGTGGCACTGGGGTTAAACCGCACACACTTCTGTTGAAGAAGAGCAAAGGGACATCAGTTCAGTTTCAGACATCAGTGTCAAGCATAGGCTACTGTACATCAATCATAAACATAAACAAACAAGAGGAAACTGGCAAAACAGCTCAGAACAACGACCAGCTGATTAAAAAAACTACACACTGACTACAAAAAGAACAGGAAACAGGAACAAAGCAAAGATACAAAACAATAAGAGTTCAAACAAACACAAGGGAAGTGTAACAAACTGCTACACAGTATTATTATTTCAACTAAATTTGTTAGTTATCATTTTTATTGTGATTTATTATTGTTCTTTGTTCAATAGAGCGCTCTTTTAAACAACGGGTCGGCGACTGGGACGGACTTTCAGTATCTGCACTGCAATCGAATCCTGTTTGCATTAAATAAACCTGCTCCAATCAAGCTCAGGCTTGACAACAACTCTGAGATGAGATTCAAAGGACAGAACAATCCAGGATAGAGTCAAATAATTGACTAATAACTCACTGAGCCAACCATTAAACGTAGATGATTCAGTACTCCACATATGAAGAACAGGCCTCTGTAATTCAGTATTTCACTGAACTCACATAAATCTCTCCTCTGACTAGACTATAGACTGAACCTCTGAATCTTTGAACTGTGATCGAATCACAGAATGACTGAACTGTTTTGAATCTTTGAGCTGTTTGAATTCAGCTGTGTGTTGGAAAGAAGAGAGTGTTTTCTCAAACTCATTTGGAAACAATAAATGCTGTTTTTGGATTGGAGAGGAAGTTTTAAGTTATGAAACTTACAGGATGTTTTCTAAAGTACACTAAAAGTTGATCGCCTATGACAAATTGTACTCATTGAGTCAGTAAGCACACACTCACCGTCTGCTGCAGGTCTGGGATATTCACTCTAATGACCAGCGAGTGGCTCTGGACGTCCGTCATGCGGCTGACAGTCTGTTCTGTCCTGATCGTCTCATAGATGGCCTCCTCTTTTGAACTTTCTGAGCTGGATTCCTGAGAATATTCAGAAAAACTCTGAGCCATCTCATCCTCGCTGGACGTCGGGCTCCGCGGCATATTCAGCTTCACTTCAGCTAAAAAGAGAAAAAAACATTTGTGATTTGAGTGCTTTTACTTGTTGCCAGTAAATTAAAAACAAATGTCACCTACAGAAGCGCTTTCCATCGATTAAAATGTATTAAGAATATCTTCTTATTGACTGTTTATGATTACTATACAGTGATTGTCAAGTTGAAAATGATTAATATTCACTGTTATGCAACACACACACACACACACACACACACACCACACACACACACACACTAGTGTTTACCTGGGCTAGTTTACCTGGTCATTGGGCTAGATTTGATTGGCCAAAGGCCTGGTTTTGTTAGGCAGATCTGGCAACCCGTGCAGTTTCTGCTAAAGGTTGCAGAATATAGGACATGACACAGTGGAGCGCTTCCAAATAAAGAGTTTCTAATTGGAGATCTGCTGCACTCTTTTCTCATGTAGTCCATTGAAATCTGCTGTCACTCCACACTCTTGTATTCTGGCAGGACAGTCTTAACACAGCTGTACCTGATCATAGAGTCAAGCTGAGCAGTTTACAGAACTACAGGATGATAAGAGAAATGCTATCAGAGAGAGATGTAGGTTAAGCTACTCCTCGTATATATTACTCAACCAGAATGACAGGATTAGATAAACAAGCTCCTCCTCAACTTGTTATGAACCTCACTGTAGATAACCACACATTACCAACAATGTTATTTCGGTGACACTTCATAATGAGGTTGTATTTGTTCTCATTAGTTAATGCATCAACGATACCTGTATACAGCACTGCCTACTGTAATCTTTGTCAATGTTAACTTGAACATACAGTACACTATATAACGTGTGTTGTGAATTTGTGTGTGTGTGTAATGTTGAGAGACAAACAGGTAACAAATTCAATTCAAAAAGTAAATACAAGGCATAAAGTTTTAATTTTTGCCAAAATGCATTTATTATGCACTTTAAAAAAAAAAAAATTACATTACATTTTGACTTATATTTATATCATATGATGTAGTTTAGCAATATCACACGAGAAAGAGTGCTGTTTTTTCCTGAATATATGCGCAATTGCAAATGTGATGTTGATTTATTATATACAACAGTTGAATAAACAAGATGTTTACGGAGTTGCAATTTGTCATTGTTATCACTTTTTGCTCTCAAAATTTCAAATAATCCCACAGCAAAACATTTCTTTAAAAACAAAAATCAATTCATATGTCAACACTTTCAAACATTAATCTAGCAGGTTTATTTATGCAATAGTAACTGCAGTGTAAATGCATTCATGCCACCACTGAGCTGCAGTACACGGTGTGTAAAAATACCTGAATCTCACTTCAGACGCAGCTGTGGCTCTTCTGCAGTGCACAGATTTTATTTATTTGGATTTCATTTGACTGACAATAGCCTTATATTGTCATATTTGAAAAGTTAGAAGTTAGAAAAAAATTGCCATTAAAGGGTAAAAATGCCCCAGAAATCAGTTTAGGTGAAAAATATGTCCCCTAATGGAAAAGTGTATTTGTGTCACTGCTGTGAACTGACCACCACACAGAATATGAAGAATGCCAATCAAATCAAAGAGGGCGGGGCTTCACTCTTCACAGAAACTGACAGGAATTCAGCTGTAAACATTCACTAACTCACAACTGTTTACAACAGAAACCTTACATGACTGGCAGGAATAATATCCGGTGACAACTTGACTCGACAAATTGCACCACTTTGAATTAAAAATAATTTACTTGATTCATGTAATTCGTAATTGAATGCGAGTAGCCTGAAATAATTGTAACTATTGCCATAATGTTTAAATCATGCAAATGAAGGCTCCACAGTTTAGTAAGTGGTCATTTGAGTGCATGATATTTTCCTCTTCATGTTCTGTATGTTTCATCTCATGGACACCTTATTAAGCACCACAAAACTTACTTACATCACCAAACACGCTTACTCTTGATCACTCGTGCTCCTATTCTAAGCTACACAAATGTTTTTTGTTGTTATTGCATCTGTCTCCTCATGCATTGCTTTGCGTCTTTTCCTTGTAAATTGGAAAAACATGACATGCAATTGTAATATATTGCATGTAAGAGAACCCCTTTAAACATATTTTGCTGAAAATTTTGACGAGGCATTCAGAACACAAACTACATTAAATGCAACATAAAAAAAAACAGTCATTCATACCTGAAAGTCTTCAATGCTTCTTTCTCTCTGTGTGATTTAAGCCTCTGAAGAGAAGAAGATGCTCTTTATCAGCCGCAGGATTCCTACCGACGATCAGACTGAATCCTAATAAATCCTTTATGTCACTCGAATCACTTCAACAGAGGATCTGACGAATGACAAGAAAGTGTTAGCATTTTGTCCTTTCATAGTGTTCCGCAGAAAAGGTCTGTGCAAGTGAAGTTCTCCGAAAACCCGAAATGTGTGAGAAGTAGGTGAGATATTATTAAATGGAATGAAATGCAGAGTCGCTCTCGTACAGATGATTCAGTTCGGCCCCCTAGTGACTCTCTGAAGAGGCTCCTACAAATAACTCAGTCTAAAGTGGTCAATGCAATGCAAAGGTCTTCAAAGATGGAAGGAGATCCAGCATTCAGGAGGTTCTTTAAACACAATGCTGGAAGACAATGCAAGAAAACTCACACAATTAACACAGGCTGGTGTTTTTAAATAGGATGAAGACTCGTGTGTATGTCACTGCCTCCTCACCTGAGACAGAGCTCATTTTAAACTGGGACATTATGTAGGTCACTGCAAAGAGAAATAGAAGAACAGAAGCGGAGCGTCACGCCGCCTGCAGATCACACGCAATAATCCAGCAATGACTGATCAATCAGACTGAAAACACAAAGGACATTTTGATCTGATTGAAACGGGTGGTGAAAACTCACTCTAAGTGATTCTGAACACTTAGCTTGGAATAGATGTAAGACACCTGTAAACGAGTATCTGAATGAGTTCGTGCTCTCGAGTTGTAATAGTAGGCCTAATAATCCTTGTGTCATCGAACATCAGCAAACTGGCTATAAACTCGTACTGAAAAACACCTGTTTATGACAGTGTGTCGTTGGAAAAGAATTCATGATGAATCTGTGTCTGCTTTCTCACCTCACATAATACAGCTCAACTCCTTTGCAAAAGAGACAGAATGAGATCAAACCTAATTATTCCACGTTTTAACGCCAACCACAGTCTGAGAACCAGTCATCTCTCAACATTAACATTTCTTATGAACTAACAATGGAGAACACAACTTTACAACATGAATTATTAATCTTGATTTGTTCATTGTACATGCACATTTATTAACATTCAGCGTGCAGGTTGTTCTGCTGAACATAAAATAAGATATTTTGAAGAATGTGGGCTGACTTCCATACAAGTTTTTTGTTGTTCTATGGAAATGAATGGGGACCAGAAAATCTCTTCTTTTGTGTTCAGCAGAAAGAAACTCATACAGGGTTGGAACAACGTGAGTAAATGATGACTTAACTATGCCTTAAATGCATTAGTTGCCATGAACTACCTTGACTGATTTTGATAAAGTTGTTTAATAATGTGTCATATTTAGCATTGTGCTCTCAAGCAGAGGCGTGTAGATGGACAGAGTCGTGGTCATGCACACACATAAAGCAGAATCAGTGACACAGTGATTTTTCAAACAAAATCTTCATTCTGCACGGTAGTTAAGGAGTAATAACCTGGCTGGCCGTGTTCATCCATCACCTTTCTTGCCCATTTCCACTGCTGTGACTCAAACCGCAGCATTCAGATGGAAAGAACACAGTTAAACACAATTTTGATCATAGGCTAAATGCTTGTCATCTGATCGATTTTAACTCTAGTTAAACAGAGGAAAAGCAGAAAATCAACTTCCTTCGTACTCTTGCATCACTCCAGGTAAAAGCTTTAATCACAGACAAATATTCAGGATGAAAGTTTGGCTCCAAACACAAGAGGGCAGCAGAGCATCGCTAACAAACGCTGCAAAACTCAATTTTGAAATGCATTTTTAAATACTTCAAAAGATAACTATACTGTAAAACACAACAACAAGCACAAGCAAAACTCCCAACTGATCCCCAAGCCCTCATACAATGTGAAACAGACTGAACTCAACACAATTCAATTCAACTCATTAATAAATACACAGTTAAAAAAAAAAGGTTTTCAGTATGAATTTACATTTATGAATATGGTACTTGCATAAGAACAATATGAGGTTTGCAAGGGGGAAACCTTTTTTTTTTTTTACATATTCTGAAAAACCAAAAATCACATCTCTAAACATACAGGGGTTCACATATAATTGAATGAATTCAAGATTTAAAAATTCATTTTGAGAATTCTGAATGGTTCAACATGTCTTGACATCGAAAAAAAACTGAGCTGAAATATTACTCTAATATTTGAGAACAATAATATTGACCAGTTTAATACAGAAGGGAATACAGCAGTATAATTTCATTTTCACTCAATAATTAGTTCTATATTCTAATAATAAGGGATTTATGAATTTATTATTCATATTAATTTTACTAGCATATATTTCTTTTAGTAACATTATAAAAATATCTAATTATGTCTTTGATGTCGTTTACATCTATATATCTAGTGTGGAAGCGTTTCTAATCATTAGCTCTGCAAACATATTATTCCAGTTTGTCCAAATATGAAACGATGCAGAGCCGCTTTAATTACCTCTGCTCTTTCTAATTGGCATTAAATATGAAACTCCCCTTCCTGTTGTAATTGTGCGAAAAAATTGTTTACATGAATTTATAATTGACATCAAGCCAGAGAGGTGAAAACACAAGCTTTGAAAGTCATAAATATCGACGGGCAAGAGATTCAGTGTTGGTTTAATTATCAGTACTAATTAAAAAACTGGAGCTAAAGTAGTAAACAAGACGACCAGTCTCTCTCTGCACTGCAAAATAAATCAAACGGGCAAGTACAGGAAAAGTCAAGTGAAGTTTATGAATTGCATTTACATTATT